CGCTTCCAAATCGAATTCATCTTCATCGCAAATTCTACACTTTCAAGATGACTGACTCGAAATCGACCGATCAAAATGTCGATGATTTCTTGAAGCTTGTATCGGGGTTAAGCAGTATGAAGGTCGCTGTAACGGAGGAGGTACAAGCCATCTTGCCGTTGAACTTGCTACCATCTACGTACAGTTCTTTAAAGGAGACTCTAAAGTACGGCAGAGAGACTCTTACCATTTAATCTGTCACGAATGCAGCCAAGTCCAAGGAGATTGAGTTAAGAGAAGCCAAGGATCTCAGTAACTCTCAGAAGGGAGGAGAAACCCTCGCTGCTCGTGGAAGATCAGAAAGGAGAGATTCTGGAAACAGAAAGGGAAAGAGCAGATCAAGATCAAGCTCTGTCTCTAAGGTGACTTGCTGGTACTGCAAGAAGGAGGGCCACAAGAAAGCTGACTGATATGCTCGAAAAAGGAAGATGGAGTCTGAAGAAGGTGCTGAAGCAGCCGTTGTGATTGACACAACTCAGGACAGTGATGCTCTGACTGCTTCAGGGGGCTGGCACCAAGATAAATGGATCATTGACTCGGGATGTTCGTATCACATGACATCAAGACGTGAATGGTTCAATGAGTTCGAGGAGCTCACTTCAGGAAAGGTTCTTCTCGGTAATGAATTCTCAATGGAGGTCAAAGGGATCGGATCTATCAACATCAAAGCCCATGGAGGGACAGTCAAGACTCTGTCAAATGTCAGGTACGTTCCAAAACTCAAGCGGAACTTACTCTCGACTGGAACCCTGGATAGATTAGGATTCAAACATGCTGGTGGAAATGGAAAGACTAGGTTCTATAAGAATAAGAAACTAGCTCTTCAAGGTACTTTGGTAGGCACTTTGTATTTGTTGGATGGTGAAACTGTGACAGGTGAAACAAACAACAACATTGCAAAGAAAGTGTCGAAAGATGAGACAGTTTTGTGGCATAGACAGCTTGGGCACATGAGTATGAAGAACTTGCGGATTCTAGCTCAGAAAGGGATAATAAACAAGAGGAGAATATGTGATCTGAGTTTCTGTGAGAGCTGTGTGATGGGAAAGCACAAGAAAGCGAGCTTTCACATTGGCAAGCACGGTTAAGGGGAAGCTCTCAAATACGTTCACTCTGATCTCTGGGATTCTCCAAATGTAACACCAAGCATGTCAGGAAAGACATACTTTCTGTCAATCATAGATGATTATACGAGGAAGGTTTGGGTGTACTTTCTGTCAGCAAAATGAGAAGCGTTTGAAAAGTTTGTTGAATGGAAGAAGTTGATTGAGAATCAAGTCAGTAAGAAAGTCAAGTGCTTAAGGACAGATAACGGCTTGGAGTTCTGCAACACTGAATTTGATAACTTTTGCAAACAACATGGGATTGAAAGGCACATGACATGTGCATATACGCCTCAGTAGAATGCGTAGCTGAGCGTATGAACAGAACAATCATGGAGAAGGTTCAGTGTATTCTGGATGAGAGTGGCTTAGAAGAAGTTTTTTGGGCAGAAGCAGTATCTACTGCAGTATATCAAATCAACAGAAGTCCTTCCTCAGCCATTGACAGCAACATTCCAGAAGAGTTGTGGCTTGGAAAGAAGCCCGGATACAAACACATGAGGAGATTTGGTTCTGTAGTCTACGTTCACAAAGATCAGGGAAAGCTGAAACCAAAAGCTTTGAAGGGAATCTTCATCAGCTATCCTCCAGGAGTAAAAGGTTATAAAGTGTGGCTTCCTGAAGAACAGAAGTGTATGATCACACGTAACGTTGTGTTTGTGGAAGATAAGGTCTACAAAGACCTAAGAGACAGTTCAGTAGAGAAAGCTACAAAGCTGAAGATAGAGTTAACAGTCGGGTCAAAACTGTTATCGAAACAAGTGTTAGTACAGAGAATCAGAAAGAGATCACCTCTTCAGGTGGAGAAGTTGAAATAGGTCCGGTTTATATCAGTGACTCAGAGTCTGATGATGGTGGTTCAAATGAAGAATCTGCTGCATGATCAGGATCAGGATCAATTCAGCGTAGTGGTCAGCGAAGTAGTCATCAAGTAGCAAGAGAGAGACCAAGCAGAAAGACTGCTCGCCCTGCTAAGTTCAACGACTATGACATGTTGTCTTTTGCTTTCATAGCAGCTGCAGAGATAAGCTCAGAGGAGCCGAGAGATTATCATGAGGCTATGGAATGCAAAGACAAAGACCTTTGGGATGGAGGTATGGACGAAGAGATGGATTTTCTAGAAAAGAACAAGACTTGGAGATTGGTGGAAAGGCCAACAAACAGGAAGGTTATTGGCTGTAAGTGGGTGTACAGGCTGAAACCAGGAATACCCGGAGTAGAAAAGCCTAGGCATAAGACGAGACTGGTAGCAAAGGGTTACTCCCAGAAAGAAGGGATTGACTACCAAGAAGTGTTATCCCCTGTTGTGAAACACGTCTCTATAAGGTTTATGTTATCCATAACAGTAAACTAGGATCTTGAGCTTGAGCAGCTTGACGTGAAGACTGCTTTTCTTCACGGTCTAATAGAGGAAGAAATCTATATGGAACAACCAGAGGGGTACAGAGTTAAGGAGAAAGAAAAGCAAGTTTGCTTGTTAGAGAAGGCTCTCTACGGTTTGAAGCAAGCTCCAAGAAAGTGGAACAAATGTTTTGATCAATATGTGGTCAGCCACGGTTTTGAGAGAAGTGAGTTTGATCACTGCGTTTATATCAAAAGGGGAAAAGATGGAGCACTCGTCTACTTACTCTTATATGTTGACGATATGCTCGTTCCCTAAAGGAGATGAAAGAAGTGCAACTTGTCAAAGATATGTTGAACAAGCAGTTTGAGATGAAAGATCTAAGTCCAGCTAGTGGGATACTAGGTACGGATATTCACAGAGATCGCGTGAAAGGAATCTTGTCTCTGTCTCAGTCAAGCTACGTGAAGAAGATCCTACAGGTGTTCAATATGGATGATTCAAAATCAGTCAACACCCATTGGATCTCACTTCAAGTTGTCAGCATTAAAGGATGACGAAGAAGAGACAGTGATGAATGAAGTGCCGTATGCAAATGCCATTGGAAGTATCATGTATGCTATGATTAGTACTCGCTGTGACTTGGCATATGCAGTTGGTCTAGTTAGCCGATATATGAGCAAGCCAAGTATGGTTCATTGGTCTGCGGTTAAATGGGTTCTGAGGTATCTGAAAGGAACACAAGACTTGAAGCTGGTGTTTAAGAAGAACGAAGATTTTAAAGTTGAAGGGTTCTGCGATTCTGACTTTGCCTCAGATCTTGACAGAAGAAGATCGATCTCAGGGTACGTGTTCACAGCTGGTGGGAATGTAATTAGCTGGAGGTCAAGTCTTCAACACGTTGTTGCTTTGTCTATGACAGAAGCAGAGTAGATGGCTCTCGTAGAAGCTGTAAAGGAAGGCATCTGGCTTAAAGGGTTAGCAGAAGAATTCGGGTTCAAGCAAGATTCAGTTGACATCTGGTGTGACTCGCAAAGTGCTCTTTGTCTTACTAAAAATAACGTCCATCATGAAATGACTAAGCATATAATCAGAAAGCTGCACTTTATAAGAGATGTTGTTGCTGAAGGAGAAGTGAAGTTACATAAGATTTGTACTTCAAAGAATCCAGCGGACATGTTGACCAAGGTGCTTCCGGTTGATAAGTTTGAGAAAGCTTTGAGTTTTCTCGGTTTAGCTAAGCACTGAGGTGCTTTGGAGCTGCCTGGAGATGCTCGCGTTTGCAAGAGTTCGTGTTGCAGATCAGAATTGATTGTCATCAAGGTGGAGTTTCTTAAGTCTCTGGTGATGAGAAATCAATTCTGAGTCGGGCTTAAACTAAGATGGTTATGTCAAATTAGGCTGATGGTTCTTGTTAGCTTAATTGGTTTACGGTTTAGTATAAACCGACTGATCCCTTGTAATTAGCTTTGGTACTTAGCTGAAGCGTGAGTGTATTCTTTCTCTGAGTTGTTGATTCAGTTGTAACAGAGAGAGAGGAGAGATTGTAATCAAGAACACACGATATAGTGGATTATTGAAAGATCTCCAGGCCGAGACGTAGGATTCTCGTTCCGAGATCTGAACTCGTTAAATTCTCTGTGTATTTCTTTTCTCGTTTGATTTGTGTTCGTCTTTCTTCTTTGAGCGATTGTGAATTGAGTGAAATCGGAGAAGTTTGGAGGTATCAATCACTACATGTACCACAAAAATTAAAAATATTTATACGACAGACCTACTCTTAAACGAAACAATGTTGAAGACGATCAATGTGGTATATATGTGGGATGTGCATCTACCATTGATGAGACTTCGAATCAGACTATAGTTCTAATCTAATTTGCTCAGTTAATTCGTAACAAGTTTATTATTTTATGCATCTACGTTTTAAATATAATGTTTTGTGCCCCTTCTTATTTTTTTTTTTGTCGACCATCGTTTCAATCAATACACCTAAACTATTTGATTTGTGCATATTTTTTTTTTTGATAATTTAGGGTACATTTCAGACTTATGAAAAAGTCTAGATTAATCTCTTGAGAAAGTGTAGCGTATAGATAAACCTTCTCTCCGGATATTCAAATTTGTGCATATACTACGTTTAAAATATGATGTCTGAATATTCCTTACAAAATTTATTCGATTAGCTACACGACGCGTGCCATGCAGGTTGGGGTCACTTTCAATGAACGTTGGTTTCATAATTAGGCGCACTTTTATTTTCTTATATGAAAAAGCGAATATTTGTCTGTTCAGATACCGATCAGGTAACGAGGCGTAAAAAAGCCACCAAAAGGAACTTCAAAGCAATCGTTTGATTCATTAAAACTCAAAAAACAATATCCATTTGAAATATATATTCACTATCAGAAAAATAAATATCCAATTGAATATTTTTCATGTTAGCAATTGGATGATAACATCCAGTGATTATATGCCATCTGTAACATACGTCAGGGACTACGAAAACGAAAACGTAATTAGATCAAGAAGGCCAATTTTAAAAATTAAAATAAAATAAAAATAAGTAATTGCATGAGGAATTGTGGATGGATTTATATAAATTTCATGGGCTACTCTGTTTTCGTGGAGGACTTAAATTTGTTTTTTTTTCCTTTTTTATATAAAAAATCAAAAGAGATAAATTCGGGTGGAACCAAATCTGTTGTTCCTGATTATTATGATTAATCGACACTTCGTTATACTTTTCCCTTGCCTCTCTGTCTTCATTGATCTATTTTTCAATTTAGGGTTCCATCTTTCCCCCATCGTTGTCCAGAATAGAACGAACCCTTAATTCTCCAGGTAAATCTGAAGCTCATGGTCTTGTTAAAATCTGATTTTTCGATGAACTTGTTTCCCTTTTTTTCTCGCATGAATGTTATTTCGTCTTTCTGTCACGTCATGGATGTTCGTTGACGCAATTTTATTTGTGTAGATAGGGAAAATGATTAGGTCTTTCGTCGTGAGATTTATATTAAGTTTTGGGTCAATAGTATTTGATTAAGCTGGTTAATTAATAATTATTTGTTGGAAGTTTTGTCTGAAATTGAATATCACAGCTTAATGAAGTTTTCCTAGTTACAAGTTGTTGTTGTCTTTGTCCTTCAGAAAGGAATCTAAGAGTATGTATTTTGCATTTTTGTTATAGAACTTTTAAGTTGAAGAATTAATCAAGATCATTAAGACATGGAAAGTGCAGAGGATACTTCTACAATTGTAGAGCCACCTGACCCAGAAGTTCTTGAAATCGACCCAACTTGTCGATATATTCGGGTGATTACCGCATCTTAATCTCTTGAATTATATTTTCAATTCTTTTGTTCAACCAAATTATAGCTGTTTTTCTTGACCAAATCAATTTTCAGTACAAAGAAGTGATAGGAAAAGGCGCATTCAAGACAGTGTATACCTTTTTCTTGCATAATCTCTCTTTTTTTTTTTGGATGCTATGAGAGAATCTTAAAATTTCACCATTCCTTTAACTTTTTTTTTTAAACACAAATATTCAGTTATAAAGGATTCGACGAAGTAGATGGGATTGAAGTTGCATGGAATCAAGTAAGAATCGATGATCTTTTGCAATCACCTGATTGTCTAGAGAGGCTATATTCAGAAGTACGGCTTTTGAAATCTTTGAAGCACAGTAACATTATAAGGTTTTATAACTCGTGGATCGATGACAAGAACAAAACAGTTAACATAATCACCGAGTTGTTCACTTCGGGAAGTCTCCGACAGTATGTATTAATTAATATCCCTTTCACTCTCTTTTGAAAGCTTTGAAGCACAGTAACATTATTAAGGTCTTCCTTTTGTGATTTTTGTTAAAAGGTATCGTAAGAAACATAGAAAGGTGAATATGAAGGCTGTGAAGTGTTGGGCGAGACAGATTTTAACGGGGTTGAAGTATCTTCACAGTCAAGAACCGCCGATTATACATAGAGATATTAAATGTGACAACATTTTTATCAATGGTAACCATGGAGAAGTGAAAATAGGAGATCTTGGTTTAGCTACTGTCATGGAGCAAGCTAATGCCAATAGTGTGATTGGTATGATTTTTCTTTTTACAATTTTGCAAATATCACTCTCTTGTCTTTTGTTTTTGGATTAAGATGATAAGATTGTTAATATAACCAAACAGGAACTCCTGAGTTTATGGCGCCTGAGCTCTACGATGAGAATTACAACGAGCTTGCTGATATATATTCTTTCGGGATGTGTATGCTTGAAATGGTTACTTTTGAATATCCTTATTGTGAATGTAGAAACTCTGCTCAAATCTACAAGAAAGTTTCATCTGTAAGTTTTGAATATCTTTATTTGTAATATACTATTACTGTATGTTGAACAAAACTTACTATGGTGAGTCTTTTTTTTTTTTTTACTTAGGGTATAAAACCGGCTTCACTCTCAAAGGTTAAAGATCCAGAAGTAATGGAGTTTATACAAAAATGTTTATTGCCAGCTTCAGAAAGGTTATCAGCGAAGGAGCTTTTAAATGACTCTTTTCTCCAAGTGAACAGTTTAGCTATGAACAAACCTTTACCGCTTCCTGACATTGTAATGCCTAAAGAAGGTTCGTTTGGAGACCGATGTCTTATGTCTGAAGGACCTCCTAACTCTCGGAGTAAACCAATGTCGATGGATCTTGACGAGGACAATCACCTTCCCATTGTTACTTCAAGCAACGATTCAGGATCCAAGTGTGTTGAGGTCAGAAGGGCAAAGAGAGGGAACTTGTTTGTCCTCAAAGGTGAAGAGAATGATGAAAACTCTGTTTCGCTTATTCTTAGTATAGTCGACGAAAACGGTAAGTGTTCTTTCTTACTAATCATCTTTTTTCGTGAAACCAAAACTTGATTAGTTTTTTTAATCTTGTTGCTTATGCAGGACGTGTAAGGAACATTCATTTCTTGTTCTATCAAGAAGGTGACACTGCTTCTAAGGTATCGAGTGAGATGGTTGAACAGCTCGAACTGACGGATCAAAACGTTACGTTTATAGCGGAATTGATCGATGTTTTGCTCGTTAATTTGATACCGAGTTGGAAAACCGATGTCACGATCGATCATCTTGTTCAACCGCAACGGAACAAGAGCTCCAAGGACCATGATGATGATCATCATCATAATGGTGCAGTTTCTCAGGGTAGTGAATCAGTTAGTCACTCTTTGTCATCGGATTATTGCCCGAGATCCGATGATGACGAGGTGAGCTCGATCGTAGCTGCGACGACAAGAGATGAAGAAGCAGAGAAACCGGGAAGCGTGGAGGAAGAAGTAGAGAGGTTAAGAGTGGAGCTAGAGAGGATAGAAGAGCAGTACAGGGAAGAGATGACAGAGATATCGAGGAAAAGAGAAGAAGCGAAAACAGAGACGAGAAAGAGATATTTTGAGAAGAATGCAACAAGTTGAGTAAAAATAAACAGAGCAATACACTAGCGCCGTCTCTGTTTTTTTGGCTTCCTCTGTTCTGCTTTTCTTTTTTTTTTTTTTTTTTGTAGTAATTTTTTATGTAAGTTTGGTCAACGAGAAAAAATTCTTTTTGTTGTTAAGATATAGTTTTTAATTTTTTTGGTAATTAGGATTGAAATATCCTTGCAGGTTTTGTTGATCAATCTTTGTATACACAAGTGTCCATTCATTCCATTTACTCAGTTTCTGATTGGATTAATAGTGTTTTCATTAACTAAATTAGGTCTGGCCAGAAATTAAAAAGGTAGATTTATGCGTAAAATCGATGAGATGATTAAAATTAAATTAAAAAAAATCTATGGTATGAAATTTTTAGTGAAAATGAATAAGAGAGCTGCATTCACCAAAATCACTTCTCAAATATAGATATACAGATACATGGATATAGATGTTCTCTAAGTTTAATCTAATTTTCACTGCCTTTGAGAGTCGGTGCAATTTGTTTTCTTTCAAAGCAGGAATTTGAGAATCTCAAATATGAAATATTGCTTACAACAGTTACTTTAATAATAAATGGGCTTTACATCTTGGCTTTTGGGTTTTTGCATTATTCAGATATAAAATTTGAAATATCCGAAGATTCAATTTAACGGAACTAAATTTGAAAGTCATTGTAAAGCTCAATCGAAGAATAGCCGTTTGATTGGCTTCGCTTATGCGTCTTCTTCTTCTTCTTCTCCCTCACAGAAGTCGGCTTTTGAATCCGAATTTGTTTTCAGAGTTTTTGTTGTTGCGATTATTGTTGAAGAAATGTCTAGGTTTTCATCAATTTGTTACTTTCCCCTCGATCTGATGATTGTCTTAGGTTTTTACCCAATCGCAATTGATCGCTCGGTTTCTTCAAATCAATCGATTTGAATTTAGCGAAAACCCTGAATCTCCTATTAATTTTTGCTTCTCTCATCTTTGTATTTTATCAATGGCAGAGGAAAAACAGGAAAGATCGTGGACGCAGCGTCCGATCACAATGAAAAAAAGGTACAATCTGTTACTTCTTTCTCACCGAGTGTTACCTACGGACACAATTAGCTTTTTCCCCAATTAGTAAGTTCATCGTTTGTTGTTTTTGGTGATTTTCTTTTTGGTTTTGTAGCTATAGAGTTGATCGCGAACGAAGCTTCTACAAATCCATTCAGGGGCTTGGAATTATTCAGAAATCCTACCAAAATCTGTCAGTTGTTGCCATTTTTTTCCCAAGTATGTTCCCTTTCAATCCTTTTCTTCTGCTTTGTATTTTTTTTTTTTATTTTGGTTTTACAGTTTGAACCTTGTGTCTCGTTTTTCCTCTGCAGCAACAGATCTGGGTTATTCTCAATCACTTCAAGGATGCATACGCAAACATATACATATGCATCCACTGATCCACACACACATACATTTGCATTCTTGCATACATGCATGTGTGCTTTCATACATATATGCATACATACTTGCATAATTGCTTGTTTCCTTTGATTCTTTGCTTGTTTTATATTTACTTGCTTGCTTCATTGACTCGTTGTTTACTATTTTGCTTGCTTCTTTCTTTCGTTCCCTGCGTGCTTGCTTCTTTCTTTGGTTCTGTGCTTGCTTGTTTGCTTTTTTCTTCCTTGATTCCTTGTTTAATTTTATGGTACCTTACTTGCTTCGTCGACTCTTTGTTTACTATCTTGCTTGCTTCTTTCTTTGGCTCTGTGCGTGCTTGCTTCTTTCTTTGGCTCTGTGCGTGCTTGCTTCTTTCTTTGGTTCTGTGCGTGCTTGCTTCTTTCTTTGGTTCCATGCATGCTCGCTTGTTTTCTTATTTCTTCCTTGATTCCTTGCTTAGTTTTGTGGTACCTTACTTGCTTCATTGACTCGTTGTTTTCTATCTTGCTTGCTTCTTTCTTTGGTTCTGTGCGTGGTTTGCTTGTTTTCTTCTTTCTATGTTACCTTGCTTAGTTTTGTGGTACCTTTACTTGCTTCATTGATTCTTTGTTTTCTTCTTTCTATGTTACCTTGCTTAGTTTTGTGGTACCTTTACTTTCTTCTTTCTATGTTACCTTGCTTAGTTTTGCAGTACCTTTACTTGCTTCATTGCTTCTTTCTACGGTTCTGTGTGTGGTTCTTCTTTCTTTGGTTATTTTTGTGCTTGCTTGTTTTCTTATTTCTTTGTTTCCTCGCTTAGTTTTGTGGTATCTTACTTGCTTCATTGACTCGTTGTTTACTTTCTTGCTTGCTTCCTTTTTGATGTCTTGCTGACTGGCTTCATGCTTCTTTGCTTATTCTCTTACTAGCTTCCTCGCTTACATAAAGCTCTCTAGTATAAATTTCTATAGATAGTTTCTTTGTTACTGTTTAGAATAGTACAGATGAGCGTTTATCAAGGAAAATTCCCCGTCAACATCAACATTGATCACCCCTTTTGTGAAGGTCTATGATCATTATGCTCTTGTTACTTCTTCATCAGATGATTGTAGGGATTTTATATGTATATGTACCATGGCCATGTTTTATACTGATACAAGGTGATCTCCTTTGTATCTAAATATTTTTAAGTGTTCAGGTTTTGAGATCTTGGAGTTTAGTTGCAAACAAGTTCTAAACCAAGAACCTCATGAATTCTCTTGCACCATGAAACAAATTCCACTTTTTTATGTATGTCCCATACCATCCACTCTTTGACAAATATTTTTTCTCTTATGTGTTGCATGTAATTCTTCTTTGGCACATAACTTGCTTTACTTGACTATTTTGCTTACTTGCTTAGCTTTTTCAGGACAAGCTCACTATAAAAATCAACAGTAAGACTGGTTGGGATCTCAGAGAACTTGAAGAATCACGTGTTGACTCAATTACAATGAAAATAAGGTAGCACTTCCTCACTTAACCATTCAAGAAGGGCTTTGTGTTGTACTTGTTATTGTTTCTTCATAACTGATTATTATATTTTGATTAATCTATGTGAAAATTAGTTGAGCAACAAACTGATTAAAACTTCAATCCGCAATGACTAGTTGTTTACAGTCATGGCTATACTAAATCAGATAAGGTACTACCGTCTTAACACGCCGTGAATAAATAAATATTCAGTTAGAGCAATTGAATGTAACCAGAAAAAAAGATAATGAATTTCTATGGCATTCAGGAAATGCGCATTTCAGGTCATGGAGGCCCTCATCCGATTCTGGTAGTCAGCTCACTTCTTGATGCATCTGTCAGGCAAATGAAGTTCATGAAGTTTAATCCTTCTGCGAGGTGTGTGTCTTTCCTTCTTTTCATTATTCTGCAGTAGTAAATTGTAAGCTTTTCTTATGTTCTAAAATCATAAAACGCATATATAATGTTATACCTCTCAGAGACCATTTTGTTTACTTCAGGTCCATCACAAATGGTGCTCTAAAGGGCATATTCTAGTTTCTAAAGTTTAATCCTTCTCCCAGGTATGTGTCTTCCCCTGTTTTTCTTGTGCTTAGTCATTTTCAAACTTTTCTTCTCCCAGGTATGTGTCTTCCACTTGGAGTTGCTACTTTATCTATGCGTAGATTTCGTTGTCTGTATCTATGTGTTTTCTTCGTTTGCTGATTCGATTTTGTTTTGTTCTGTTTTTCCTAGTCAAGTCATTATCAGAGCTCGGAATCTAAAAGCTGGTGCCAATTTCATCCCACAGAGATCATTCCGCACTCGGAGACTCTACTTTAGCTACGTGATATGCTTTGATGAAGATTTATAGAAAATAATGTGTTGATTGCTGCAGGAGAATAGTGTGCTACATGTTCCCTAAGGGACAAGGCACAAGTTCAGATGTTTTCTGATCCTAACATGGCCCTTTCGATGATTATTCCACAGGTGGATGGAAATTGAATTTTTTTATCTATGTCTTTGCGTTATTTGTGATATGGGAAACTGATATAACTTAACATTTTGCAGACACTCACTTTTGCATGGGTCAACTTCTTCTTCTCTGGGTTTGTTTCTCTATACAAATTCCTGCTATTATTGTTTCACTGCTATCATTTGAGCACCAGTTAATCGTCTCCTTAATTCTTTAGTCTATGCAAGTTTTTATAATTCCTTAGCATCTGAGTCTTGTTTGTTTATATTGCAGCCAAAATACCAATCCCTCTGACGCAGAGTTTCGGATCGATGTTACTGAATGGCATTGACTTGATCACTGTTGATGTTAGCTACGTGAGTAGTCGTTCGTGAAGTACCCAAAATGCGTAAAGGATTCAATGTTATCTCGGTCCTTTCTCTTGTTTCATGAGCTTTTTCTTTCACTTTTCAGGTACTTCTTGAAAAATAGACATATAAGGTTACATTGAAAGGCAAAGAACTATAGCAAGACACAAGTTTGAGATTTTGAAATTATATTGGCAATTTTATATGTTCTCAAATTGTAAGCAATCTATACGCTTATGTGCAGGTCCATCGCAATATGAAAATCTAAAATGTATGAGATACGGTACGAGAGCTACATCTTCAAATCTCTTAAAGTTTATTTCTTCTTCCAAGTATTTGTGTTCAATAGTTTCTTCTATTTAGTCTTTTAGTTTTGCTTTTATAGATTTAACTTTGATTCTTTTTTCTTCTTATACAGTAGCACATTTAATATCTATGTGATAATGTGCAACTATCTCAAAGGTTCCAATTTATATGTCAATTTTCTGTAGAAGCAATCAAGATTTTTTTTGAATATTTACTGTTTTTCACCCGTTCATCGAATCTGCAAAAAGTGAGAAAACATTTTTAGTCTTTTAATTGTGAAATTTCATTTTCAGAAGGCACGATCACCTCTCAACCTATTAATGATTAAGTGTGTGTTCTTTTTCATCTTAGCTAGTGGTGATGGTGAGGTCATTTCTCAAGACTTCCGTAGGAAGAGTGTGTGCTTATTAAGAAAAGCATAAAATCCAATTTTCTCTGGGATCTACGCAGGTAGCAACGTTGTAAAATCATTTTTTTTAAGTTATGGCATCTTCTGGTTTGCTTATTTAGATATTGGATACCAAACTTTGATGCTATATCACCATACATTCTCGCAAGTAGTTTGTTCTCATAATTGATCGTGTATCTTTTGATTAATCTTGTATTTTTAGGTGAAAGCAGTCGAAAGCTACAACTATTAGCAGAGATGATGTTTCTTGCGGTGATGTGTTGTCATAGCAAGAAAGTTGCACCAAAACTGAATAGACAAGTCACAGTCTATCCATGGCGACCAATTGTTTACGATCAACGTTACATATTTAGTCAGATCAATCGAATAAGGTATCACAGGGTTCTTAAATCTATATGTAGTCAGATCAATCGAACTAAAGAAACAAAGAGAAGTGTACATGCCTTCTTATCATTCATTGTATTGTATGGCTAATGAACAATGCCAGTAAGTGGAAATTGCTGATAACTGTCATCTCTGAATAACACACGCTTACCCCTCTGCAAATCACCGAGTAAGTTGTCATTTTATTCATCTCAAAACAATCTCTAATACATATGACTATACGTTTTTCAGAATTTCAGTATCGATGGGTCCTCTTTTATAATGTTAAAATATTTCATATCTGCAAAGGCGCTGATGAAACCCTTCATTCGAACTTGTAGCTTTAAGCAGTCCATATGTAGCTCTGAAAACAGGACATAGAAAAGCCAAGAAAGGACCAATGGTTTTGTGGAAGGTAACTCAATAGGAAAGGACCAATGGTTTTGATATTCTATTTTAAATTGTAAGCTTTTGATGTGTTTTCAAATCAGAAGCACATACATAATATATATGCTTGTTTGCATATCAAAATGCTTGATATATAATCTCTAGAGTACCATCTTCTAGTTTCTCAAGTTAAATCCTTCTCTCAAGTATGTCTTCAATCTCTTTTTCTCTATTTAGTCTTGCAGCCAAAATACCAATCCCTCTGACGCAAAGTTTCGGAGAATGACATTGAATCGATCACTGTTGATGTGCCCAGAATACGTAAAGGATTCAATGATATCTCGGTCCTTTCTCTTCTTTCCCTGCGTGCTTGCTTCTTTCTTTGGTTCTGTGCTTGTTTTTTTCTTCCTTGATTCCTTGTTTAGTTTTATTATGGTACCTTACTTGCTTCTTCGACTCTTTGTTTACTATCTTGCTTGCTTCTTTCTTTGGCTCTGTGCGTGCTTGCTTCTTTCTTTGGTTCTGTGTGTGCTTGCTTCTTTCTTTGGTTCTGTGTGTGCTTGCTTCTTTCTTTGGTTCTGTGCGTGCTTGATTCGTTCTTTGGTTCCATGCATGCTCGCTTGTTTTCTTATTTCTTCATTGACTCGTTGTTACTATCTTGCTTGCTTCTTTCTTTGGTTCTGTGCGTGGTTTGCATGTTTTCTTCTTTCTATGTTTCCTTGCTTAGTTTTGTGGTACCTTACTTGCTTCATTGATTCTTTGTTACTACCTTGCTTGCTTCTGTCTTTGGTTCTGTTTGTGGTTCTTCTTTCTTTGGTTCCATTTGTGCTTGCTTGTTTTCTTATTTCTTTGTTTCCTCGCTTAGTTTTGTGGTATCTTACTTGCTTCATTGACTCGTTGTTTACTTTCTTGCTTGCTTCCTTTTTGATTTCTTGCTTACTGGCTTCATGCTTCTTTGCTTATTCTCTTACTAGCTTCCTCGCTTACGTAAAGCTCTCTGGTATAAATTTCTATAGATAGTTTCTCTGTTACTGTTTGAAAATAGTACAGATGAGCGTCTATCAAGGAAAATTCCCCGTCATCATCAACATCGACCATCCCTTTTGTGAAGGTCTATGATCATTATGCCCTCATTACTTCTTCATCAGATGATTGTAGGGATTTTATATGTATATTTACCATGGCCATGGGTTATACTGATACAAGGTGATCTCCTTTGTATCTAAAATATATTTATTTGTTCAGGTTTTGAGATCTTGGCGTTTAGTTGCAAACAATTTCTGAACGAAGAACCTCATGAATTCTCTTGCACCATGAAACAAGTTCCACTTTTTTATGTATGTCCCATACCATCCACTCTTTGATAAAAAAAAATTCCTTATATGCATTGCATGTAATTCTTCTTTGACACATAACTTGCTCTACTTGACTATTTTGAGCACTATTATGAGCTTACTTAGCTTTTTCAGGACAGGCTCACTATATAAATCAACAGCAAGACTGGGTGGGGTCGCAGAAAACTTGAAGAATCACGTGTTGACTCAGTTACAATGAAAACAAGGTAGCACTTCCTCACTTAACCATTCAATGTAACTGAAGATTATATTTTGATTAACCTAGGTGAAACTTAGTTGAGCAACAAACTGATTAAAACTTCTTCTATGGCATTCAGGAAATGCGCATTTCAGGTCATGGAGGCCCTCATCCGATTCCGGTAGTCAGCTCACTTCAGCTTCAAATATTAACAAAGTATGATTCTCGATGCATCTGTCAGACAAATGAAGCTCTAAAATGGCTAAGGTTCTTGTTCATGAAGTTTAATCCTTCCTGCGAGGTGTGTCTTTCCTACTTTTTATTATTCTGCAGTAGTAAATTTTAAGCTTTTCTCATGTTCTAAAATCATTAAACGCATATATAATGTTATACCTCTCAGAGACCATTTTGTTTACTTCGGGTCCATCACAAATGGTGCTCTTAAGGGCTGAGAAACAACCTCCATATTATCATATTCTAGTTTCTGAAATATAATCCTTCTTCCAGGTATGTGTCTTCCCCTTTTTTTTCTTATGCTTAGACATTTTCAATTTTCTTAAGCAGGTTTCGTAAGTTTATCATTCATTTTCATGAAATTGTAAACAGTGTCAGAGAGCGAGAGCTGTCGCAGAAAAACTGGCTAGGAGCCTGCGTGCTAAAGCCTCTGCAAACCACTGATAAGTAGTCATCTTGTTGAATTCAAGTCAATATTCATTTCTCATAATGTCAGTACTAATGGGTCCTTTGTGTATCATCTCCCCTTATTAATGTTGCAGTAGGATTTGCAGCTGAAAGCACTGAAGTATCTGGTACTTGATAGAACCAGAGATTGGGTTTTGATTACAACCTCAGTTGTGATGGTTTTCATAGTATTCTCAGATATTTTGTTTACTTCAGGTCCATCACAAATGGTGCTCTAAAGGGCTGAGAACAAACTCCAGACTGTCATATTCTAGTTTCTGAAATATAATCCTTCTCCCAGGTATGTGTCTTCCCTTGCTTTTCTTATGCTTAGTCATTTTCAATTTTTTCTTCTGCAGTAGCAGATTCCGTTGTCTATGTGAACCGATAATATTTGATTTGTTCTGTTTTCCTACTCATCAGAGCTAGGGATATAAAAGCTGGTGTCAGTTTCATCCTGCAGAGATCATTCCGCACTCAGAGACTCTACTTTAGCTACGTGGTATGATTTGATGAAGATTTGTTGAAAATAATGTGTTGATTGCTGCAGGGGAATAGTTTGCTACTTGTTCCCAAGGGACAAGGCACAAGCTCATATGTTTTCTGATCCTAACATGGCCATGAAGAAAAACCCTTTCGATAATTATTCCTCAGGTGGATAGAATTTGAAAATTTTCATCTCTGTCTTTGCGTTATTTGTGATATGGGAAACTGATATAACTTAAAATTTTGCAGACGCTCACTTTTGCATGGTTCAACTTCTTCTTCTCTGGGTTTGTTTCATCACAAATGGTGCTCTAAAGGGCTGAGAAACAACCTCCAGACTGTCATATTCTAGTTTCTAAAGTTTAATCCTTCTCCCAGGTATGTCTTCCCCTGTTTTTCTTGTGCTTAGTCATTTTCAAAGTTTTCTTCTGCAGTACCAGATTTTGTTGTCTACGTGAACCGATAACTTGGAGTTGCTACTTTATCTATGCGTAGATTTCTTTGTCTGTATCTATGTGTTTTCTTCGTTTGCTGATTTGATTTTGTCTTGTTCTGTTTTTCCTAGTCAAGTTATTATCAGAGCTCAGAATCTAAAATCTGGTGCCAATTTCATCCCGCAGAGATCATTCCGCACTCGGAGACTCTACTTTAGCTACGTGATATGCTTTGATGAAGATTTATTGAAAATAATGTGTTGATTGCTGCAGGAGAATAGTGTGCTACATGTTCCCCAAAGGACAAGGCACACGCTCAGATTTTTTTCTGATCCTAACATGGCCCTTTCGATGATTATCCCCCAGGTGGATGGAAATTGAAATGTTTGATCTCTGTTTTTGCGTTATTTTGTGATATGGGAAACTGATATAACTTAACATTTTGCAGACACTCACTTTTGCATGGGTCAACTTCTTCTTCTCTGGGTTTGTCTCCCTATATAAATTCCTGCTGTTATTGTTTCACTGCTATCATTTGAGCACCAGTTTATCGTCTCCTTGATTCTTTAGTCTATGCAAGTTTTTATATTTCCTTAGCATCTGAGTCTTTTTTGTTTATGTTGCAGCCAAAATATCAATCCCTCTGATGCAGAGTTTTAGATCGATGTTACAGAATTGGCATTGATATGATTACTATTGATGCTATCTCGGTCCTTTCTCTTGTTTCATTAGCTTTTTCTTTTACTTTTCAGGTACTTCTTGAAAAATGGACATATAAGGTTACATTGAATGGCAAAGAGCTGGAGTAAGACAGAAGTTTTAGATTTTGAAATTATATTGGCAATTTGATATGTTCTCGAATTGTAAGCAATCTATACACTTATGTGCAGGTCCATCGCATATGAAAATCTGAAATGTATGAGAAACAACCACGAGAGCTACATCTTCAAATCTCTTAAGTTTATCCCTTCTTCCGGGTATTTGTGCTCAGTAGTTTCTTCTATTTAGTCTTTTAGTTTTGCTTTTATAGTTTTAACTTTTGATTATCTTTTGAAACTATCTCAGAGATTCCAATTTATATGTCAATTTTCTGTCCATTGCATCCCATGTCAGAACCTAGTTAGAGCAATCAAGATTTTTTTTTGAATATACAGTTTCTCACCCGTTCATCGAAGCTGCAAAAAGTGAGAAATCACTTTGAATTTTTTTAGTCTTTCAGTTGTAAAATTTCATTTACAGAAGGATCACCTCTCAATCTATTAATGATTCCGTGTGTGTTCTTTTTCACCTTAGCTAGTGGTGATGGTGAGGTCATTTCTCAAGACTTCCGTAGAAAGAGTGTGTGCTTATTAAGAAAATCATAAAATCAAATTTCCTCTAGGATCTACGCAGGTAGCAACGTTGCAAAATCTTTTTTTTTTAAGTTATAGCATTTTCCGGTTTGCTCGTTTAGATATTGGATACCAACTTTGATGCTATATCACCAGAAATTCTGGCAAGTGACAAGTAGTTTGTTCTCATAATTGATCGTGTATCTTTTGATTAATCTTGTAGTTTTAGGTGAAAGCAGTCGAAAGCTACAACTATTGGCGGAGATGGTGCTTCTTGCGGCGATGTGTTGTCCTAGCAAGAAAGTTGCACCAAAACTGAATAGACAAGTCACAGTCTATCCATGGCGACCAATTGTTTACGATCAACGTTACATATTTAGTCAGATCAATCGAATAAGGTATCACAGTTGTCTTAAATCTATATTTAGTCAGATCAATCGAACTAAAGAAACAAAGGGAAGTGTACAAGCCTTCTTATCATTCATTGTATTGTATGGCTAATGAACAGTGCCAGGCTGCCAGCAAGTGGAAATTGCTGATAACTTTCATCTCTGAATAACACGCTCACCCCTCTGCAAATCACCGAGTAAGTTGTCATTTTATTCATCTCAAAACAAGCTCTAATGCATAAGACTATATGTTTTTCATAATTTCAGTATCGATGTCCTCTTTTATAATGTTAAAATATTTCATATCTACAAAGGCGCTGATGAAACCCTTCTTTCGAACTTGTAGCCTTAAGCAGTCCATATGTAGCTCTGAAAACAGAACAGAGAAAAGCCAAGAAAGGACCGATGGTTTTGTGGAAGGTAATTCAATAGGAAAGAACCAATGGTTTTAATATTCTATTATAAATTGTAAGCTTTTGATATGTTTTCAAATCAGAAGCACATACATAATGTATACGCTTATTTGCAGATCAAAATGCTTGACATATAATCTCCAGAGTACCATCTTCCAGTTTCTCAAGTTTAATCCTTCTCTCAGGTATGTCTTCAATCTCTTTTTCAAAATAATGTGTTTATTGCTGCAGGAGAATAGTGAGCTACATGTTCCCCAAGGGACAAGGCACAAGCTCAGATGTTTTCTGATCCTAACATGGCCCTTTCGATGATTATTCCACAGGTGGATGGAATTTGAAATTTTTTATCTCTGCCTTTGCGTTATTTGTGATATGGGAAACTGATATAACTTAACATTTTGCAGACACTCAAGTTTGCATGGGTCAACTTCTTCTTCTCTGGGTTTGTTTCCCTATATAAATTCCTGCCGTTATTGTTTCACTGCTAAGCACCAGTTTATCGTCTCCTTGATTCTTTAGTCTATGCAAGTTTTTATAATTCCTTAGCATATGAGTCTTCTTTGTTTATCTTGCAGCAAAAATACCAATCTCTCTGACGCAGAGTTTCGGAGAATGGCATTGACTTGATCACTATTGACGTTAGCTACGTGAGTAGTCGTTCGTGAAGTACCCAAAATACGTAAAAGGTTCAATGATATCTCGGTCCTTTCTCTTCTTTCATGAGTTTTTTCTTGAAAAATGGACATATAAAGTTATATTGAAAGGCAAAGAACTGGAGCAAGACACAAGTTTGAGATTTTGAAATTATATTGGCAATTTGATATGTTCTCAAATTGTAAGCGATCTATACGCTTATGTGCAGGTCCATCGCAAATGAAAATCTAAAATGTATGAGAAACAACCATGATAGCCACATCTTCAAATCTCTTAAGTTTCTTCCTACTTCTAGGTATTTGTGCTCAATAGTTTCTTCTATTTAGTCTTTTAGTTTTGCTTTTATAGATTTAACTTTGATTCTCTTTTCTTCTTATACAGTAGCATATTTAATCATCTATGTGATACTGTGAAACTATCTCACAGGTTCCAATTTATATGTCAATTTTTTGTAGGAGCAATCAATCTTTTTTTTTTTGAATATTTACAGTTCTTCATCCGTTCATCGAACTGCAAAAAGTGAGAAAACACTTTGAATTTTTATAGTCTTTCAATTGTAAAATTTCATTTTCAGAAGGTACGATCACCTCTCAATCTATTAATGATTAAGTGTGTGTTCTTTTTCATCTCAGCTAGTGGTGATGGTGAGGTCATTTCTGAAGACTTCCATAAGAAGAGTGTGTGCTTATTAAGAAAAGCATAAAATTTCCTCTGGGATCTATGCAGGTAGCAACGTTGTAAATCATTTTTTTTTTAAAGTTATGGCATCTTCTGGATACCAAACTTTGATGCTATATTACCAGACATTCTGGCAAGTAGTTTGTTCTCATAATTGATCGTGTATCTTTCGATTAATCTTGTATTTTTAGGTGAAAGCAGTCGAAAGCTGCAACTATTAGCAGAGATGATGTTTCTTGTGGTGATGTGTTGTCCTAGCAAAAAAGTTGCACCAAAACTGAATAGACAAGTCACAGTCTATCCATGGCGACCAACTGTTTACGATCAACGTTACATATTTAGTCAGATCAATCGTATAAGGTATCACAGTTGTCTTAAATCTATATTTAGTCAGATCAATCGAACTAAACAAAGGGAAGTACATGCCTTCTTATCATTCATTGTATTGTATGGCTAATGAACAGTGCCAGCAAGTGGAAATTGCTGATAACTGTCATCTCTGAATAACACACGCTTACCCCTCTGCAAATCACCGAGTAAGTTGTCATTTTATTCATCTCAAAACAAGCTCTAATGCATAATAAGACTATACGTTTTTCATTATTTCAGTATCGATGTGTTCTCTTTTATAATGTTAAAATATTTCATATCTACAAAGGCGCTGATGAAACCCTTCATTCAAACTTGCAGCCTTAAGCAGTCCATATGTAGCTCTGGAAATAGGACAGAGAAAAGCCAAGAAAGGACCGATGGTTTTGTGGAAGGTAATTCAATAGGAAAGGACCGATGGCTTTGATATTCTATTATAAATTGTAATCTTTTGATGTGTTTTCAAATTACAAAATGTATGAGAAACAACCACGAGAGCTACATTTTCAAATCTCTTAAGTTTCTTCCTTCGTCCAGGTATGTGTACATCTTCAAATCTCTTAAGTTTATTCCTTCTTCCAGGTATTTGTGCTCAATAGTTTCTTCTATTTAGTCTTTTAGTTTTGCTTTGATTGATTTTACTTTGGTTCTCTTTTCTTCTTATACAGGAGCACCTTTAATCATCTATGTGATAATGTGAAACTATCTCAGAGGTTCCAATTTTATATGTCAATTTTCTGTCTGTTGCATCCCATGTCAGAACCTAGTTGGAGAAATCAAGATTTTTTTTTGAATATAAAGTTCTCCACCCCGTTCATCGAAGCTGCAAAAAGTGAGAAATCACTTCAAATTTTTATAGTCTTTCAACTATGAAATTTATTTTAAGAAGGCAATCACGATCACCTCTCAATCTATTAATGGTTATGTGTGTGTTCTTTTTCATCTTAGCTAGTGGTGATGTTGAGGTCATTTCTGAAGACTACCATAGGAAGAGTGTGTGCTTATTTAGAAAAGCATAAAATCAAATTTCCTATGGGATCTACGCAGGTAACAACGTTGTAAAATCATTTTTTTTAAGTTATGGTATCTTCCGGTTTGCTTATTTAGATATTGGATACCAAACTTTGATGCTATATTACCAGACATTCTGGCAAGTAATTTGTGCTACTTGAGGCGTAGCAGTCCTCATAATTGATCGTGTGTTTTTTGATTAATCTTGTATTTTTAGGTGAAAGCAGTTGATAGGGTCAGGTTTTATCTAAATAAAACTACTGCAAGTGCACAGCAAAGCAGTTGTAGTACAAGGGGTATCGAAATCCCAAGAGAGTAATGCAGACTACACTATCGAATGTAGATTCGGATTAAGCTAAGCAAGATATGATGTATGTAATGCGAATGAATGAATGAAAGTAAGCAAACGATTTTGTGAGATGATCTAAGTTCCAGAAAACTAAAAGCGCTAAGTCAGGGCAATTCGTAGGTTGAATCCAAGAATGTATGACGCAGGAAATCAGGAATGATTAAGAACCGTTTTAAACATGAATCACTGATGTATAACTAATCAATTCTCATTGCAAAAGTTATCTATGCCTAAATCACAGAGTTTCAAATCTCTTTGTAAACTCTAACAACCTAAGCATGCATGAATGATCAGATTCAATTGTTTACAAAACTCCTAAGCCAAATCTCTTTGCACTAAGTTGCTTTGCTCATCAAATACTAGTTCAGGTTATGAATAATGCTCTCACATATATTTAACAACCTAAGATTTTCGGATTCCTAGATGATGTGTCTCAGAAATTCGATTTTAAAGCAAGCAGAGATGAAAAACCATAAGATATTCCTAACAGATAGCGATTCTACAATCTTTTCATCAACCTTTGAAAAACCCTAACTTAACTAGCAGATTACTCAGACATGATTATGAGATCACAAAACATAACTGAATAAAATTGCATTAAGAGAAAGAGTAAGAAATAAAGGGGGTTCGAAATCATCTCAAAAGAGTACAGGATTTGTCTCCCCAAAAAGCTCTGAATAATCTCTCTCTAAGCTCTTTGAATTCTCAAAAACTAAGATAATAGCCAACAATGGCTGAAAAACCTAATAAATAGATGCCAAACACGATCTGGGGTCTTCATGTTATAAAGGAACTTCTGGGCCAATTCTGCAAATCTTCTTCGTACTTTTAATAAAACAGCCACACTCCTTCCTTGATGGGTGACGAGTGTCACCATATGTGATACTTTCTGCTTCGAGCTTGGTACTTCGTGGCTTCAACCCAGAATGCTCCAAAAGGTTCCAAAATCTCCAATTATGCTCCAGACATGCTATAACCTGCAAAGACTACTAGGACTCTAAAAAGACCAAAAAAACTCAATAAAAAGGACTTATATCATGGTTAAAAACCATAAAAACCATGATATATCAACTTCCCCAGACTTAGCTTTTGCTTGCCCTCAAGCAAACATCAGACACATAATAAGGTCGAGGTTTGAAAACAAGAAACAGTCAGTCAGTCATCAGGAACACCACACTAGTTAGAGCTTCCGAATCCACATACCACATAGTCAACACAAGATCAAATTTCAGTCTAATCATCACAAGCTTAGCAAATCTCTCAAGTCCAGTCCAAATCCCTTCAAGAAATCTGAAATTTCTACTGCTAACTCCTTATTTTTATATCTAAGTGTGAATTCTCATCAAGGCTCTATCATCTCAATCACTTTACAGATTCTTTTCCCTTCCTAACAACTGAACAAATAGATATCAACACAGCTCTCCTATTTTCTCTTCCCTTGACCTTTTCCTTAGGATATTTTCGATTTTTCACTTCTTTTTTTTTCAATTTTTACAGTCTAAGATATGGGGCTACTCAATACTTGTGTTTCTTGTGAGGAGACAGGTTCTTGAGTGTGTTCACTACTGTTGTTCCTTGTGAGGAGACAGGGTCATGAATGCATCATTCTTTGGACTTAATCTTTTAAAAACTACATCAGGAAAGATCAAAGAGAGACTGCATTTTAACCTTATTGTCAGTGCTGAAAGAGAGAATCAAGATCAAAAAGAATCAATCACCAAGACAAGAAGTTTAAAGTTCATTAAGGTGGAGCTAACAGCAAATTTTTCAGATTCTCTAAGAACCTAAACCTTCATTGCTAGACTGATCTACCTATGACTCTCAACTTAGTGAGACTTGTAATCAACTACTGTGGCAATGGTTCTTATCAGCAAAAACGTCCTATGGTTAGTTCTAAGAAAAACTGACAATTTCAAAAAAAAATTGACTCTATAAAACAGGTTTTTGACTCAACTTTAAGACTCTATAGACATGACACAAAGCACACAACGTCAGTAACCACCTCCCCCAGACTTAAACAACACTGTCCCCAGTGTTATTAAGCCAAGAGTTGGTCAGAAAAATGAATGAGAAGTCGAAAAACCAAATCAGAAAAGTGTTACCTCGCGTGGGGTCGGGTGACGAGCATCACCAGTCTGGTGACGAGCGTCACCAGTCTGGTGACGAGCGTCACCACGACCTGTATTACCCAATTCTTATGTCAGATGTTAATTAACGAAGTGTTTGCATATGCACTCGAAAGTTAGACTTTTTGAGCATTCAAACACATAATTAACAACATCCAAACATAGCAAAAATAACCTGGTTCAACAATCTCACAAAACATCATCAAAGAAACTGACAACTGACTCAAAGAAAACATAAAAATGACTCAAGAGAAAGAAAAAAATAAAAGGGAAAAAAGAACAAGTAACCAGATAGTGAAGCCTCAATCTTCATCCTCGCAAGGCTCAGTGGTGTAATGGAGGCGGACACAACCACAGTTGCTAAGTGTAGCAACAGCATCCCAGAGTCCCTCAAAGCTGTCAATGACATACTCCTGAAAAGCAGCCATATCCATGGGTGTCTGTGGTCGTGGAGGACGCCTGAAAGCAGTAGAAGAAC